ACAAATAGACTCATATTTTAACCCTTAATTGGAATGATAAATTTGCTCATACGCCCTCGAAAAAAGCTTCATATATGATTAGTTTGAAAAGAAGAAATAAAACATATTATTTAGCATCCCAAACAAATTGGCGTCCTTTCGGTTCAACAAACCCTCCTCTTACATTACTCTCTAAGTAAATTCCATCATGTTTGGCAATCCATGACCGTATTTGATTACATCGAGGACTGGCGGCTCCTCTGTATGCTCTCCATATGGTAAAAAAATTCTCCATTATCTCACCTTGTTTTAAAGTACAACGCCATACTATTCTTTTGTCTACTCTCTCTACAAAGCAAAGTATGTGTGATTCACTGAAATTTACATCTTTGGGATCGGGAAACTGGTTCGTATTAGATGAACAATTGACTTTGAGAATAGTACGAGAATCAAGTTCATTTCGCATTTCTAAAATGTTTAGAAGGCAAAATTCTGTTGACAAACAAAAATACAAACCAATAACAATAGTAAAAACTATGAGACGATTCATATTTGGGATCTAAATTTGTTTTTGAAGTAATTTGAAGATAAAGATGTTAAAGTGTAGTATTTATAGTTTATTATATGGTAATCGAGTTTAAATCCGAGAAAAATTCATTGTTATGTAATAGTTGATTTGAAATATTTTATTTAAATCTAGTGTTATTGGTTTTTTTTTATTTACAAGTATTAAAAGAGTTTAAATTTGGTTGTATTGGTTTTTGTATTTATAATCTCTTCATCAAAAAAGATATGAAAAATTTATTGTTATTCAATTAAAAATTTACAATAACCAATTAAAATCTCAAAATATCACTACCTTTCACGACACATGACACAACATGGGCGGATCTTTTGATCAAACCAGTCAAAGAAGCTCGTGATTCTGATATCGATATCTATTGCAAGATGAGAACTACAAACGCTTTGAAGAGAGCTTGGACATGGAGGACCCGAAACTCGAAGTTCATGAGGGAATCAATGACTGGTCTCTGTTTAATTCTCACCCACATAATCTTACACCTTTACATATATCATGAATATTCATTCAATGAGTCTAAAACAAGAATCATCTGCTTTTTTTTCAGTAGCTGTTTGAGATGACATAGCACCATTTAACTTTTAATGTCGATGCGTTTCTATTAGGTGGACGAAGAGAAAGTACGTGTACTTGAACCAACCAACTCTTGGATCTGTAGATTCACTGAAGAGAAAGAATTTTTCTTCTTATCTACCAAACTGTTTCTCCTTCAAGCCATGCATTCCTCTCTATGCAACTTTGCTCAATGTATTTTAAACCATGAGCAAACCCTGCAAGATCAATTGTCTTGC